ACACGCCCAGGGCAGGTGAGTGCCGGGTGGGGGTGAGTCCACACGCCCAGGGCAGCTGAGTGCCGGGTGGGGGTGAGTCCACACGCCCAGGGCAGCTGAGTGCCGGGTGGGGGTGAGTCCACACGCCCAGGGCAGCTGAGTGCCGGGTGTGAGATGCGCACAGTTCCCAGGAGGAAAACACTCCGGCTAGAGCCCTGAGCAGTCAGTGCAGGAGAGGTTGGGAAGGACCGCTTGTGGAGGGCCTGAGGGCCACTGTGGGGATGGGGCTTCCTTACACTCAGAAAGAGGATTCTGTGCTCTGGGGCTGCAGGAGGGTTGAGGAGGGCAGGGAGGAGGCTTTGAGCCACCCAGTAGGAAGGTGGCGGCGGCAGGGCATAAGCATGGGCAGTGGGGCTGGGGAGGGACTGGTAGGCTGGAGGTCGAGGGAGGGCAGGGAGTAAGAGAAATGTAACCAAGGCCACCTCTGAGGTGGCTGGCCTGAGCCGCTGGAGAGGCCACAGGTCAGTGTCAGCCGAGGGAAGGTCAGGGGTCACTGGGCGTATAGAGGCACTGGCTGAGCTCTGGACGGTTGATGTGAGCAGGGAGGTAGAAGTGGTGGGGGCGTGTCTATCCCCTCTCTCTCCGACCTCTGCCCCCTGGGTTCTGGTGGAGGGTGAGGATGACCCCGTAGAGTGGGGACACAGAGCTGCAGCAGGCTGTTTGACCAGGACTTGGTGGCCTGATGAGATGGCATGACAGTAAAGCATCCTAACCTGTACAAGGTAGAAACCAGTGTAGCCCTCACGGTGCCTTCTCTGAGTCCTTGTCCATAGGCCTGTCCCCAGGGCTGGCCACCCTAAGAGGGACAGGCTCCTGGACATCAGCAGTGGCACTGAGCCTCCTCCCAGGTGCCCTTTGCCATCCCCGGACACAGTGGCATAATCTCGGACTGTCATAAGGGGTAGGGGGGTTTATGTGTCCTCCGCACCAAAGGTTAGAAGTGGCGCAGCCTCGGGAGTGACACAGAGAGCAAGCACAGACCCCTCAGCTGTGGGCCAAGCACAGCTGGGGACAAGTGTTGCTGTGGGACTCGGGGTTGGCATGGCTGCCCAGCGTGGCTCAGGAGGCGGTGCAGCAGAGACAGGGTCCCTGTAGGCCCTGCTATGGGCCAGGCATACCCCAGCCATGGTGCCTTTACCCTCTTGTCAGTTCCCATCCATTGCACCTGCGGGACACTGTCGCAAGGAATCTGCTGCCAGGCACTGGGGAAGCACCTGGCTGGTCAGCTTGTGGCCTCCCAGAGCAGCCCCAGGGTGAGGGCTCAGGTGGTCCCACTCCTCAGAGAGCAGAGGCAGCGGGTAGCTGCAGACTGGCTCATGTCCTTTGCTCCACAGAGCAGGGGCCCCGGGAGCACCCGGCAATGAATCATTGATTCACAACTGGCCGTGCACATGGAGGGTCGA